GCCGTTCTGTCTGTAGCCGTCCACTTGGCTGAGTGGGGACCGCAGACATCTTGTTAGTGACCCAGGATTGTTCTGTCCTGCAGAAGGGGCTTTCTTCCCTGTGAACAAACACAGGCTTTTCTCCTTGAACAAAATGCAAAAGCAAGGTTGAATGCTCAAGAGATCGAAGGCTGGGGGGCCAGGGGCAGGAGCAGCAGGCCTCATGTGCACAGCCGCAGGGAAGGGTTTGCCCACCAGCGGTCCATGGGGTGGGGGGAGTGCTTGGTGCCGAGTGTGGGGTCACTGTGTGTCTGAGGGCAGGTGCGGGCCTGTGGAGTGGCCAAGCTCATCCCCACACCTCCCCTGCCTGTCGGGGCCCCTCATCCACACCACGCAGGAAGACTGCCAGCCCCATCGAGGTCAGAGGCTGGTGCCCGAGGGCTTGGAGTGGGGGGTTTGGGCTCGGTGTTCCTGATGGGCAGCGGATCAGGGTGGCCCCGGGCTGCCTCTTGGCTGTGCTCTGAGTCAGTAGATGCTGGCGGCAGGGGGCTGCCGTGGGTACAGGGCGGATGACAGGGAGGTGGGGGAGGCTGCTGGCCTGACCTGGGCCGAGGCCACGAGGAAGAGACAGGTGCCAGCCTGAGAGTCTGGAGGCTGTGGGCCACCCTGCCCTGCGCCCCCTCCTTCCCGCCGCATGTGCCCCACCGCCTTCCCAGGCGCGCAGGGACACTCACCAAGCTGTTATGGACGTGGCCTAACGGAGCTTAGGTGGTGGAGCAGGTTGCTCTGGGGGTGGCAGGCGGGGCTGGCCTGCTTGGGGCTTTCTCCTCTTCCCTCTGTCCCTGTGAGCTCACGGCTGCCCCTCGGGGAGCCCAGCCTGCGTGGTCAGGGCCTGGTCCCCATGAAGCCTGCATCGTGGCCACCCCCCCGCAGCCTTATAGCTGTGTCCCCCACTGGTCTGCGTCCCTCAAGGAGGGGTATCCAGCTTCCCTGTCTGCACCCCTGTCGAAAACACGATGTCCCCTTTCTGCATGTCCACAGCCAGCCAGGGAGCTGAAGTGACATCGTCAGGATGAGGGAGGGAGACCTGGAGCCTGCTGGGCGCTCCCCTCCGTGTCTGATGATACCCGCCATCACTCCCATGCTGCAGCTGGGGAAACTGAGGCTCAGGGTGAGGGGTAGATAGTGGTACTGTCGGGCCAGGCTGCGAGCTGGGCGGGGGGAGAGAAGATGGTCCACTCCACGGTTCTGGGGACCCTGAGCCAGCAGGGCTGGGTGGCCATCAATGAGGATTCGGCTCAGAGGTCCAGGACCACCCTTCAGTCACACAGTCCTGTGCCCTACAGGCCTCCAGGGGGACCTCCCAGAGCGTCAGGGTCCCTGTTGGCACAGCTGCTGGTGAGGGGCTGACAGCCGCTGAAACGTGGGTTGAGTGTCCGTGAGCCCCTTCTGGCTTCCAGGCCCAGTCCCAGCAGCCTCACGCTTCCAGCCGATGATGCCTTCGTGCAGAGATGACTGTGCCTGCCACGGTCACCCCCACTTCCTGGCCGTCCCCACCCACAGTGCCCACAGCCAGGGACAGGAGGGAGAGGGTGCTCTCAGGCCTGTACCGTCTTCAAAGCCTCGGTTAGTGTGCTTTGCTTAGCCAGCTGGCAATCTGAGGAAGAACGTGGATCGGTGATGGTTCCCCGGGAAGCCTGGGTCAGGGGGAGCAGCACCCCCCACTCGCCCCACCTCAGGGCTGCTCAGCAGGTGGCCGGTCCACAGCCTCCTCCCCAGCCCCCAGCGGGCCTGGGGCAGGATGTCTTCAGCACCACGGACAGCGGTCACCTGGCTCGGCCCTGGATTCCACCTCCTCCCCCACTCCGCCTGGTTTTGGGGTGTCTGTGTGGGGTGCATTGGAGCCTTGGTGTCATGAGAGGCCGTCAGTCCGGCAGGACAGGACCGGGTTCCTCCTCCACCTCAGCTGGGGGAGGCCTGGCTGTGGGCGCCACTGGGAGAGTGCGAAGGTGGCGCAGCGTTGGCCGGGGAAGACCTGGAGGGGAGGGAGGCAGTGGGAAAGGCTGGCATCAGGCCAGGGGGAATATGCTGGAAGGGTGGTGCCCGCAGCGTGGGCATGGTCCTTGAGAGGTCCCCGACAGACAGGACCTTTGTTCCCAGTGGCGAGAGGGGCTCTGGGACCCCTCATCAGGCCTGTCTGGACCCTCTCATTGATGGGCCACCCCCCACCAGCCTGGGTGGTGGTGCAGGCCCAGCCCAGGCCCCAGGAGTTCCCTGGAGCTGGAACAGCTAGGCCCGGGGTAGTCGCAGGATGTGGGTCAGGGGGCTCACAGCCAGACTGAGCCTGCCAGAGCTCTGGGGTCCTGTGGCAGAGACCGCGTCACTCAGCGTCGGACTTGGCCCCTCCCTGTGCCGGTGTGGCCGCCGCCTCCTGGCTGTGCATCGCTGAGGCTTTTTTGGAACCCTGGTGGAAGCTGACTCTAATTTGTAGAAGTTGGTTCAAAACCTAAAGGATTTTTAATTAAAACTTAGAAAATCCCATCTGTGTGATTAAGTCTCTGGGAGTCGCCGGGTTCTGGGTGAGGAGCAGGTTGGCCCTGCCTGTCCTTGGCTGCCCACTAAGGTGTGATGGGGGAGGGGGTGGCCTTGGTGTGTGGTAACCCCTGGGCCGGCTGCTCTTTTTTCTCTGGGGAGCCCCCAGCCATCTGCAGGGTGGCTCTGGGGGGTCTCGGGAGAACCGTGTGTACATGTGAGCACCCTTACACACCCCTACACAGACCAAGGCAAGGTCTTGGGGCCCAGGTGCAGGACCCTAGGGTCATTTCCTCCCAGGTGTGTGTCTGGGCTGGTTGGGGGACAGGCATTATCGTTAGGAGAGAAACCCCAAAGGGGTGAGAGCTCTTGGGGGTGGATGGAGGACTTCCGAGGTGCTGGGCTCGTGCTGACCGGTTTGGTCACCAGTAACCCCAGTAGTGTGCCTACTTCTGGGATGAACCTGCACTCGTGTCCTCCCGGCTGGGCACCCAGGCTTCTGCCCGAGGGGTCCTGAGCCTGCCAGGCGTGCCTCATGGGTGGGGCAGGCAGGCCCGCGCCCACAGGACCAGCGGAGTCGGAAGCCACGGTTGGTGGGTCCCAGGCTTCACTTGTCGGCAGCTTGGGAAGATGTGGAGGTAGGACCCCAAGTGGGGCTGTCTTTTCCTGTTACAGGGCCCTGGTTTATGGCTTGTCTTGGGGAGTGAGGGCCCCTCCCAGCCCTTGAGCTGAATAGTCTTGTGGGTTCTGGCCTAGAGGAGCCCAGGGCCTGGGTCTGCTCTGTTTTCGAGGGCAGAGGTCCTCAGCTTTGCCCGACACCACCTGTGGGGTCTGGGGCAGGTCCCCTGCGGGAATCCCCTAGACCAGGAGATGGCTGTACCTGCCCCTTTCATCCCACCTTCCTCTGCCAGGACCCCGAACAGTGGCTACGGGTCTTACAGTAGTGAGGGTGGGTAGCAATGAAGGTTAGGGCCTTGAGGGTAGCTGGTGGGCTTCTTCCAAGCCGGGGCAAGGAGGGGGGGCGTGCACCTGCGTCCACCTGGGTCAGGGGTGGGACACACTCCTTCACACCCTCTGACCGTCACCCACCCATAGCCTCCTGCTCTCTGGCTGGGCCTTGTGGGGATGTGGGAGGTTCGTCTCCTTGCAGGAGGGTCTGCTGAGCCATTCTAAACTGGGGACACCCTCCCCCTGCGGTGACACGCACAGATGTCCCTCCTTAGAGGTATGACTGCAGCCTTTAAGGGACAAAGGGTTAGGAGGTTGGTGCAACCTGAGCACCCCTTGACAGCCTGGGACCTGGTCTGTGCAGGGGGGCCCCAAGACGCCCCGGTGGAGGCTTGCTGGCGCACTGCAGGTGCGGTCATCAGCCACAGGTCTCTGGCCTCCCATCCCCATCCGCAGGCACGCCAGGCCCCTGGGTGGGGGCTGAGGGCTGGGGCCGTGTGGGTGGGAATGGAGTGATGGTGCTGGCCCCGCCTCTGCCCAGGGACGGGGTGCTGGGGGAGAGAGGGAAGGGGACGGGCTGCTTCCAGATCCTGATGTGGGGACAGCGTGTGGGGTGCACAGAATACTGCAAGCCCTGCCAGCCACTGGGCGTACCTGTCCATATTCACAGGGTTTGCGTGGCGCCCATCTCCCCACGCAGCCTGGCCCAGCCGGCCCAGCACAGGGCGCCCCGAGTCCCTAGTGCACCAACTGGGGTGCGGGTGCTGGGTGCACCCCTTCCCAGAGACCCCCACCCTGGGCCAGGGCACTGTATGGCCTGTGTGGAGCCCTGGCGCCCCCTGGTGGCTGCTCCTGGGATGTCCGGGAGGTCACAGGGGGGCTCTGGTCCCCACACCAGGGGTGCAAGGGTGCGGAGTGTGTGGGGAAGCGGCACTGCCTGCTGAGCTGGCTTCAGAGGCTCCCACCCCATGGGGACGTCCTCTTGTCAGCCAGAGATTCCTGGACAGGGCCGGTCACCATGGGCATTTTTGGCTCTGGGACTGGGGACGGCTGGGGAGGGGGCGAGGAGGTGTCCTCCTGGGTCCCCGTTGGTGCAGGTGCTCAGGAGGACAGTGGGTCCCCCGCGCCCAATGGCTGAGCGGATTGAAAGCCTTCATTCCCCGTCCCAGCAGCTTTGGTCAGGGCCCCGTTGGCCTGCTGGAGTCACGTGGGGGTTAGCGCCAAGACGCGTTCTCGCTCCCCTCACGGTGTGTGCACATCCGCAGCACGTGGGGGCCCAGGCTGGATGGAGCCCGTGAGAGGACTCCCTAAGTGACCGGCCTCAGCTTGGGGCGCCAGTGTCGGGGGGAGCCTGGCAGAGAGGCAGGGGCTGGCGGACAGGGGCCCACGGCAGAGGGTTGCCGGCACGGCACACAGGGGCCAGGGTCGTGGCCCCTGCCTCTGCAGGCCCCGTGGATTGGGTGCTGAGGTGGGTCCCGGGTCCGCGCTCCCCGGGCCGCTCCTGTCCCCACCGTTGATCCTTAACTCGGCGCCCGGCCCACGTGGTTCGAGCACGTCAGCATGCTGGTCATCATGCTCAACTGCGTGACCCTGGGCATGTTCCGGCCCTGTGAGGACGTCGAGTGCCAGTCAGAGCGCTGCAGCACCCTGGAGGTGGGCCCGGGACGCCGGGGTGGCGGGGGCCGGCACTGGGGGAGCGCCGGCAGGACAGGCGCTCAGGCTCCGTCTCCTGCCAGGCCTTCGACGATTTCATCTTCGCCTTCTTCGCGGTGGAGATGATCATCAAGATGGTGGCCCTGGGGCTCTTCGGGCAGAAGTGCTACCTGGGGGACACGTGGAACAGGCTGGATTTCTTCATCGTCATGGCAGGGTATGCTCCTCTGCCCCCCAAGAGCCGGGGCTGGTCCAGGAGACCCTTGGACCCGTGGTGGCTGGTGTGTCCAGCCAAGCCCGGCTGGGCACCTGCCCCTCCGGGGCTCTGCTAGTGACCAGGGTCCCACCAGGAGGGGAGGTGCACTCTGCAGGGATCCAGTGGAGCCAGTACTGGGAGGCAGCTGGGGGTGGGGTCAGTGCAGTCTCTGACAGGGAGCAGGATGCTGCCCCATGGCCAGCGGTGGGGGGGGGAGGACAGATGCAGATGGTCCATGAGTGGCGAGGGGCCCCAGGGGTACCCCAGGGAGGCACAGGGACCAGGCCCTCTGGCCTCAGCTGGCAAGGTGCTCTGGAGAAAGGTGGTGCTCAGCCCTGCCCCCAGGGCCCTGCCCAGGCCCCAGCCCCCGAGCCTCCCTGTCCCTCTGCCCCTCCCCCAGCATGATGGAGTACTCGCTGGACGGGCACAATGTGAGCCTCTCGGCCATCCGGACTGTGCGCGTGCTGCGGCCCCTCCGCGCCATCAACCGTGTGCCCAGTGAGTGACCCTCCCCCAGGACAGGCCTGCGCGTCCTGCTGGCCCTGTGGAGAGCTCACCGGGATCTGCTGGGGCTGCTCCTAGATGCGGTGGCCCCAGCCCTGGGGTGTGGGGGGGGATGCGGCAGGGGGCTCCTGGGGACTGGCTGCTTGTTTTCTGGAGAGCACACAACAAACCGGACCGGGTTGGGGAGTGACAGTCTGCGCAGGGCCCGGGCTCCCCACCGTGCTGCTGGGCTAACCTCAGGCTCCTCATCTGCATTGCCTTTGAAGGTCATGCGGGGGGCTGCATGGGCTGTTCCACCATGTCGTGCCCACCCCCCAGGTTGCTGCTCCCCGAGGCCTTGGCATCTGCACCCCCCTCCTGCCGGCCCAGAGGGCGGTTTGCTGCCTCAGCCCTGCCCTTGCTTGTTCCAGGGGAGGAGTCAGTCCTCCTTGCTGAGGTCTGGGCGGGGTCAGGCTCACGTGGGTAGGGGCCGGTGACCACACGGGGCTCAGCTGACCGGCTCCCGATTTCATTTGCATCTATCCAGCACCAGGCGCCCAGGCTTCAGCATTGCCTCTCAGCACACCGCCCCTGCCCTGGGGTCCCTCCCTCCAGGGCAGGGCTTGCCTCCAGCACGATTCACACAGGGCCTGGGAAGAAATGCTCGTTCGACCCCGTACTCGTTGTACGACCCCGGGTTCCTGAGTGCTGGAGGCATCCCAGAGCCCAAGCTCCTGGGGACCCCGAGGCTGGGGCTGTTGGGCTGTTGGACTCCGCCAGCCCCCAGACCTTCTAGGCCCACAGCCTTGCTTTCCTTCATGTAGGTCTGATCCACAGGTGTCATGGGGCTCAGGGCCTGCCAAGTGTGTGGGGACCACTGCAAGCTCTCCCCGGAGTTGCCAATCCCATGTGTGAAAATTGGGAGGACTGAGGGCGCTCCGTAGGGGTGCGGGCTAGAGGGGGCACCGGGAGAGCTCTGCTGTGCTTTTTTCCCTGCCCCTGCAGGCATGCGGATCCTGGTCACGCTGCTGCTGGACACACTGCCCATGCTCGGGAACGTTCTCCTGCTCTGCTTCTTCGTCTTCTTCATCTTTGGCATCGTGGGTGTCCAGCTGTGGGCTGGCCTGCTGCGCAACCGCTGCTTCCTGGACAGCACCTTTGCCAGGTGTGGGGCCCTGTGGGCTCTTGGGGCCTCGTGCTCCCAGCAGGCTCCTCCTCTCCGGCCCCACCCCAGATGCTCCGCCCCCAGCAGGCTCCTCCCCTCTGGCCCCACCCCAGATGCTGCAAGCCTCTAGCCCGGCCCTTAGATGCTCCACCCCCTAGATGCTCCGCCCCCAGTAGGCTTCTCCCCTACAGCCCCACCCCAGATGCTCCAGCCCGGCCCCTAGATGCTCTGCCTCCAGATGCTCCACTGCTAGGGCCCCGCCCCAGATGCTCCGCCCCTACAGCCCGGCCCCTAGATGCCCCTCCCCCAGATGCCCCACCCCCATGTGCTCCGCCCCCAGTAGGCTCCTCCTCTATAGCCCCACCCTAGATGCTCCAGCCCGGCCCCTAGATGTCCTAGATGTGCAGCCTCCAGATGCTCCATCTCTCCAGCCCCTCAGGCTCCTCCCCTCCAGTTCCGGTTCTAGGGACGCACTTAGAATACTGTTAGATGGGGATCTTTTTTCCGGATCTGTTTCTTTTGTTTTTACGGGTGCTTTTGGGTACTTCTCTGTTAATCTGCTCGTTTCACTGTTTCTGTCCACCTGTCACACTGTTTTCGTCGCTGCCTATCTCACCCTTCGTTTCTCTGTGTTTCTCTGCTCTTCTGTCCGTCTGTCTCGTCTCTGCGTCCCTCTGCGGCTCCGGGACCGCCGTCTGCCCACAGAAACAACAACCTCACCTTCCTGCGGCCGTACTACCAGACGGAGGAGGGCGAGGAGAATCCCTTCATCTGCTCCTCTCGCCGAGACAACGGCATGCAGAAGTGCTCGCACATCCCCAGCCGCCGGGAGCTGCGTGTGGAGTGCACGCTGGGCTGGGAGGCCTATGGGCAGCCGCAGCGCGAGGGCGTGGCCGGTGCCGCCCACAACGCCTGCATCAACTGGAACCAGTATTACAACGTGTGCCGCTCCGGCGGCTCCAACCCCCACAACGGCGCCATCAATTTCGACAACATCGGCTACGCGTGGATCGCCATCTTCCAGGTGGGTCCCGGCTCTGCGGCGGAGGGCCCGGCCTCAGGTTGCCCATCAGCCGGGACAAGGCGGGGGGCCGGGGCACTGCGTGTGCGGGGCCGCGGGGGGACTGGCGAGGAGGCCCCGCCGCCCTTCCGGGGGCCGTGCGTGTGTGCAGCCGCCTGTCCCCGCAGGTGATCACGCTGGAGGGCTGGGTGGACATAATGTACTACGTCATGGACGCGCATTCCTTCTACAACTTCATCTACTTCATTCTGCTCATCATCGTGAGTGCGGGCAACGGGGCGAGTCCCAGGGGCTGGGCGGGGTGCTCACCAGTGCTTGCGGGTGGGGGTGCCCCAGCAGCGTGACGGCTGGCCGCGGACCACCAAAGTCCCCTTTTGGCGGGCGCTGTCGTGCCCCTTCCCAACGCCGCACCCTCCCAGCCTCCGCTGACGCTCAGGGTCGCTGAGCTGGCCGAGCTGCAGGGCAGCAGAGGGCCAGGGCTGCCCGTGGGGCGGCTGGGGGCTTCTGCCTGGCCTCCAACAGGACGGCGTTACTGGGGAAGGCCCACCTCCAGGAGCCCTCCGGCAGCCCCCCCTGGCCCTCCCACAGCCGGGTCCTGTCTGGAGGCTGCAGGAGATGCAGGACCGTGTCTGGGGTTCCCAGACTGCCCCAGTGCTCATGGGCCTACAGACCCAGTCCTTCGTAGAGCAGGCTGCCTTGAAGGCATGGGTCTCTCTAGCGTAGGTGCCCCCGCCAGGCACAGCCCTCCGCAGTGTACTTGGGCTTCCAGGCTCGGAGATGACCCGGGCACGGTCTGCGAGGACCCCGCTGTGAACACAGATGGGGAGGTGTCCTGCTGCCTTGTTTCTGATCACGAGCACGAGCAGAGAAGTGTTGCTTGGTGACCCCTCCTGGAGGAAGTGAAGCTTTGGGGTCAGGGATGGGGGTGGCGAGCTCACCTGTCCACATGTGGGCCGTGCAGATGGGCAAGGAGCACTTACCCTGAGCCGCCCGTGGCAGGTGCTGGGTTCCGGCTTCGCATCAGCGGGGACCCCAGCATCGTGGGGCACCCGCCCAGCCATGCTCACAGCTGTGTCCCCAGCCCCTAGAACAAGCAGCGCGCAGTAGGGCTCGGTGTTCCCTCGGGGACTCGGTCACTGCCCTGCTGGCCGTCACCCGCCCCTCCTGGCCCTCTTCCCCAGCTCCCTGGTCAGAGGCCGGCGGGGCGACGGGTCGCGGCCGGCCCCTGGAGGCTCACCATTGCCCGCCCGCCGCAGGTGGGTTCCTTCTTCATGATCAACCTGTGCCTGGTGGTGATCGCCACGCAGTTCTCGGAGACCAAGCAGCGGGAGAACCAGCTCATGCGGGAGCAGCGGGCGCGCTACCTGTCCAACGACAGCACACTGGCCAGCTTCTCAGAGCCGGGCAGCTGCTACGAGGAGCTGCTCAAGTACGTGGGCCACATCTGCCGCAAGGTCAAGCGGCGCGGCCTGCGTCTGTATGCACGCTGGCAGAGCCGCTGGCGCCAGAAGGTGGACCCCAGCGGCGGCCTGCACAGCCAGGGCCCTGGGCGGCGGCCGAGGCGGGCGGGAAGGCCCACGGCCTCCGTCCACCACCTGGTCTACCACCACCACCACCACCACCACCACCACTACCATTTCAGCCACGGCAGCCCCCGCCGGCCCGAGCCCAGCCCTGGGGACACCCGGCTGGTGCGGGCCGGGGCCTTGCCCTCGCCGGGCCATGGGCCCCCCGATGCCGAGTCGGTGCACAGCGTGTACCACGCAGACTGCCACGTGGAGGGGCCGCAGGAGAGGGCCCGGGTGGCATCCACCGCGGCCGCAGCCACCGCCAACCTCAAGCTGGCCACGGGGCTGGGAGCCATGAACTACCCCACCATCCTGCCCTCATCCGTGGGGGGCGGCAAAGGCGGCCCCGGCCCCGGGCCCAAGGGGAAGCGGGCTGGCGGGCCTCCAGGAGCTGGAGAGCACAGCCCCCTGAGCCTGAGGGGTGCCGACCCCTATGAGAAGATCCAGCATTTGGTCGGGGAACATGGTAAGGACCCAGCCCCCCACCTGTGGTGGAGGTTGGGACCCAGGCTGGGTGAGCCGTGAGGAGACAGGACTCTTGGGATGTCTTCCTTTCTCCTTTCGAGTTTCATTGGTGGGGGGGGGGGGGGGGGGCTGGGCAACTTGGGCTCTGATGCCGCTGGTCTGGAGAGGGCGCCAGGTCTCTTTCCACCTTATAGCAAGCCCCAGACAGCCCCAGTACAAGTGAGACACAAACCTCACAGGAATAGGAGAATTCCAAGACTGACAAACCCCATTAGACCCCCAGGCCTGTGCCCCCTTGCCCCACCAGGCCCCAGGAGTGGTTACATGCCCATGTCTGTGACTGGTCACTTTAGAGGAGTGGCTGGTCCCTTTTCTAGGCTGAGATGCTGGGGCGCGGGGTACAGAAGGTAACATTGAGGTCCCAGAGCCTGCGAGCATCTGGGAAGGGGCCAGGTGTGCCCCAGTACACTCCTGGCCTCTCCCAGGTGGGGCTCAGCTGCACCCCCGTCGGACAGGCAGTCGGAGGGACACTGGGTCCCATGCAACCGTGAGGCCTTCCTGGGTGGTGTGTGCAGGGGTGCGGGCCATAGTGCATCAGGAGCAGGTGGGGGGGCGTGGCCAGCCCGCTGTGGTGTGTGTGCCGCAGCCCAGCCTATCCTGTAGGGCTCTGGAGCTGTGGCGCATGGAGGCCACTGCAGGCGGTTGTTGGGAGCCACACCTCCGGCTCCAGAGACTTTGCACGAGGAAGCCGTACGGTGGGCCCTGGGTCTCGTGTGCATTTCTCGAATCAGAGCAGCGAGGGTTCAGACAAGTTGGGATAGATAGGGCATTGCCGTTCGTTATTCCTGTCCGACGTGGGCATGAGAACGGCTCTCACATGCCTTTTCCGCAGACAGCGCAGTTGCCGGCAGACAGGGCGTCTCTGCTACCGGTCAAGCTGTGCACCCGGTGTACCCTACGGGAGCCCCGCCTGGCTGTGGCCTGACCCTGCCCGTGCCCTTCTCCCCACAGGACTGGGCCGGGCCCCCAGCCACCTCTCGGGCCTGAGCGTGCCCTGCCCCCTGCCCAGCCCCCAGGCAGGCACGCTGACGTGCGAGCTGAAGGACTGTCCATATTGCGCCAGCGCCCTGGACGACCCTGACTTCGAGCTCAGCGACTCTGAGAGCGGAGGCTCAGAAGGCAACGCGGTGTATGAGTTCACACAGGACGTGCAGCACGGGGACCGCCGCGACCCCATGCGGGCCCCACCGGCAGCCGACGCGCCAGGCCAGGGCAGCATGCGGCCACGGGCGCAGCGGCGGGCGGCCCCGGGCGAGCAGGGCGGTCTTGGCCACGCGTGGGCCACCTTCAGTGGCAAGCTGTGCCGCATCGTGGACAGCAAGTACTTCAACCGTGGCATCATGGTGGCCATTCTCACCAACACGCTGAGCATGGGCGTGGAGTACCATGAGCAGGTGAGGGAGGCGCTGGGATGGCCCTTGTGCCCCCCGGGGAGCTCGTGCTCCTGTGGGACCCTGCGGAAGGGCTGCGGGGCGGCAGGGGCTGGGCTGGTGTTGGAACAGGTGTGCTCGGCCACAGGAGGTTTCTGTCCATTGCTCGAGAGATGCCTGCATCTCCTTGGGCCAGGGCTCTGTCGATAGCGAGCACAGACACGCGCCACACTTCCCGCGTGGAGCTTTTTCCTGACCCGGGGTCCGGGGGGCCAGCATAGACTAGAGGCAGCAGGGCCAAGGGCATCTGGTGCTTCTGAGAACGGGATGCCCCTGGCTTAGCTCTCGCAGAGGGGATGCCCCTTCTACAAGCTGGGACCACTGGCTGTGACCACTGGGTACTCACAAAAGGCCAGAGCATGGGGTGGCCCCCAGGAGGAGGCGGTGGGGTCATGTCTGGTGCCCCCAGCAGCCGTAGAAGCTCTCGACCGTGCACACTGGGCCTCCTTGGCCCCTGCCCCAGACCGGGGCCACAGCAGGGAGGGGCAGTGGCCAGATTTGGCAGGGAGAGGGGGTAGTTTCTGGGGACCAGGCTGGGTCACTTTTGGTGACCAAATGAGTGTTCCTTGAGTGCCACTCCTGGGGCTTTTCCAGCTGTTTAAGTGATTTTTTTCACTCTGGAACAACTCAGGGGTCACCTGAGCAGCGGGAGTCTGTGGCAGCCGCGTGTCGAGAGGCTCTTTCTGGGGCGGGGAACGGGCCGGTCGAGGCAGGGACACCGGGAGGTTTTGGGGGAGTCCCTGGTAAGGAGGAACTTTTGCACGTATACACCCACGTTCTCGTGTGCTTCGTCATGTACGTGTGCACACGGCAGGCCCCATGCTGGGAAGTGCTTGGGCGTGCACGCGGGTGGGAATATTGGTGCTAGCAGTGGGCACGCACACGCACGTGCAGGTGCGGACACACAGGTGAGCCAGCATATCCCCGGTAAGAAAGGCCCCCATAGCCTCTGCCACCAGAAGGGGTGTGTGAGGCCACCAGACACCGCGGCAGCCACTGAGGTGGCTCCCATGCCCTCTGCATCCTGGGCTCCCCCTTGCCCACCCTGGAACCCGGGAGTGAATGCTTCGGGCTCAGTTCCCATGGCCCGCACTTGCTCCGGAGCTTGGATGTGCTGCCGGGCTCAGCCAGCAGGGCTCCCGGGGAGCCGGGGACAGCCAGGGTCAGAGCATGGGTCCAATTTCTCCCCGGGGGGCAGCCAGGTCAGATTGCCTCCCAGCGCTGCCCACATGTAGCCTTGCCTGCTCCTGGATTCCTGGGGGCAGGGAGGCCTCGTCCCCGGTGGGTGGGAGCCGTGGAGGGGCACTGACGGCCTCCCCGCCGCCCGCAGCCCGATGAGCTGACCAGCGCCCTGGAGATCAGCAACATCGTCTTCACCAGCATGTTCGCCCTGGAGATGCTGCTGAAGCTGCTGGCCTGTGGCCCGCTGGGCTACATCCACAACCCCTACAACATCTTCGACGGCATCATCGTGGTCATCAGGTGCTCCCTGCCTCCCTCCTGGACTGCGGGGGCCCAGGAAGTTCTGGGGTCAGGCGAACGCCCCCCCCCCCGCCTCACAGAGCTGAGCCCCAATCGGGCACCAGCTGTCGTGGGCCACGTCCCTCCCTGCAGGCAGCTGCACTAGTCCGCTGCTTCTCGGGCAGGTGTTGCTAGGACGCGGGGGGGGGCGTTCCCTGCAGGAACAGAGTAGGCGCTCAGCCGCCTAGCTGGAGGTCACTCAGGTCTCAGCCCCTGCAAGGAAGGCCACCTTGCCTGGGTGGTGTCTGCTGTGGCCAAGTCAACATAAAGGAGGAGGAGAATCTGGGGTGACCCTCCCCCAGGAGGAAGCAGGGCTCTCTGAGTCCAGGGGTTCCCCCAGCAGGGAGGGAGGTAGGCACAGCTGTCCGTGAAGGACGAGGGTGGGGAAGGCCAGAGCCCGAGTTCCAGCAGCTTCTGGCGCCCGGCAGTTAGCCAGTGGGCTTTGGCCACCCTGACATGGTCCCTCGGCCCCTTGGGTGCCCGGATACGGCTGCACCTCTTCTCAGCCGTGCGGTCAAGGCTGCGCCCCCCCCTTGAGACAAGGAGGGGCCCCTGCTGACCCCCGGCCGGCCGGCCCGCAGCGTGTGGGAGATCGTGGGGCAGGCAGACGGCGGGCTGTCGGTGCTGCGGACCTTCCGGCTGCTGCGGGTGCTGAAGCTGGTGCGTTTCCTGCCGGCGCTGCGGCGGCAGCTGGTGGTGCTCATGAAGACCGTGGACAACGTGGCCACCTTCTGCATGCTGCTCACGCTCTTCATCTTCATCTTCAGGTGGGCGCGGCGCAGCCCGGCCCTGCGCGGGGACATCTGAGTGGCCGGCTGGCCTAGGCTCCAGCCCCCAGGACGGCCCAGGCAGGCCCCGGGGGATGGGCTCCCCAGGTCACTCCCACCCCGGCCTCTGTCTTCCCGCCGACCACTGGGAAAGCCGGGCCGTGGGCGCCAGGAGGGCTGGGGGCGGGCTGGCGGGGGCGAAGCAACCCCTTGGTGTGGAGGTGACTGTTGCCCGCCTCCCCGCACCCCTCCCGAGTTCACACACCCCTGCCCTGCCCTCAGCATCCTGGGTATGCACCTCTTTGGCTGCAAGTTCAGCCTGACGACAGACACCGGAGACACAGTCCCAGACAGGAAGAACTTTGACTCCCTGCTGTGGGCCATCGTCACCGTGTTCCAGGTAAAGCGTGTGTGGGCATCCCCCGACGGGACGGTGGTCCCCAGGAGAGCCACTGTCCAGCTCCAGGCAGCCCCCAAGGGTGTGCCTGGGCCTGTCTGAGGCCTGTGCTGCGGAGACGCCCATGCCGAGCCCCTGCCCCCCACCAACCGGGACTTAGCTGTGTCCCTCCCCCGGCCCGCAGCACTCCCTGCCTCACGGCCCTTCCCCGCAGATCCTCACCCAGGAGGACTGGAACGTGGTCCTCTACAACGGCATGGCCTCCACCTCCTCCTGGGCCGCCCTCTACTTCGTGGCGCTGATGACTTTCGGCAACTACGTGCTCTTCAACCTGCTGGTGGCTATCCTGGTGGAGGGCTTCCAGGCGGAGGTGAGGGGTGGAGGGTGGAGGAGTGGGAGTCCTGCCGGGACCACTGTGGAGAGGGGGCTTTGCTCCACCCTGCAGCCACCCCCCCACCCCACCCCGGCGGTAACTCGGAGGCCCAGCCTGCAGACTGGCCCCGCCGTCCCTGGGGAGTCTGCCTGAGGGTGCTGGGCACAGATGGCTCCCACCTGAGGGGACTGCTCTCTGCCTCCCGCTCTGCGGGGCGCAGGGGGACGCCAACAGGTCCGACACAGACGAAGACAAGACGTCCACCCACTTGGAGGAGGATTTTGACAAGTTCTCAGATCTCCGGGCCACTGGTGAGCGTGTGGGCAGCGGGGCTGGGACAGCTGGGACTCCCGTAGGCAGGCTCTGGGCCGGTGGATTCCCTTCCTGGAAGCCATGCAGGGCGAGCATTCCCCTTCTCCTACCAGAGATGAAGATGTACTCACTGGCTGTGACCCCCAATGGGCACCCAGAGGGCCGAGGCAGCCTGCCCCCTCCCCTCATCATGCGCACGGCGGCTACACCCATGCCCACCCCCAAGAGCTCCCCGCACCTGGACCCGGCCCCCGGCCTCCTGGACTCGCGGCGAGGCAGCAGCAGCTCTGTGGACCCCCAGCTGGGCGACCAGAAGTCGCTGGTAGGGACCCTTCCCTGCCCTGGCCTCGGCACTCACTTCACCTGGGTCCTTGTGGCCTCTCCCCAGGAGGAGTGTGGGCCCCCGCATACACCCTAGTCACACTGCACAAATCTGTCCCCAAGCGGAGACAACCGCTCTGTCTATAAACGGAGCCGGGAGCTACTGCTCTCGTGGAAGGAGCTCACGTAGAGCAGACGGAGAATACATGGCTGCGTCCTCTCCAGCGGAACGCCAGGCTGGGAGTTTGTCTCCTGACCGAAGTGAAGGTTAAAGGCTGGCAGGCACAGAGCGCACGTCCAGGGGGAGATGAAGATGCTGTGACAGAAGCAGGGCAGGTGTCCCAAAGAGCCCAAGCCACAGGGCTTCCTGCAGACCCAGGGGATGCGGGAGAAGCTGCTTCTGAAGGCAGGGAGGGTGGGCGGAGGAGGGGGCGCGGCTCACTGCTTGGGTGGGGAGCAGGGGGAGGGGAGAGGGGTGCCCCGTGGAGACAGGATCTCCTGTGCCTGCAGCAGAGGCCCTGGGCAGCGTAGCCAGAGCTGCCCCCTGGGAGGGGACGTGAGTGACAGGAGGGAGGGTGAAGCAGCGGAGCCAGATCCCTGACCCTGACACAGCCGCTCGGTTTGTCTTTACACGCCCCAGACGCTGCTCGCTCAGCGCTGATGTGGGCCCCCGCCCTGGCCACTGGCGCCGTGTGTGAGGACTCCCGGCCTGAGGCTGGGCGCAGGCTCGTGGATAAGCACCTGTGCCTGCCCCCCAGCTCACAGTGGCCGCAGGTGGCCGGCCACAGCCCAGCTTGGCCCTCGGACATTGGCTGCCTGTGTCTCTAACTCACGGGGGATGGGCTTGGCGCCTCAGGGACGTGCTGAAATGCCGGGTCGCTGGGTGTTGCCTGGCACGGCCATCTGTGCAGTCAAGGGGGTGATCCCTTGCAGGTGCCACCACTGTGTTCACAGTAATGCTGCTGGTCAGGAAAGGCCGCTGTGGCCAGGGCCCCGGGGATATGTGGGGGGACCCGGGGCACTGGCCCTGCTCACTCCTTACCCCCCAACACAGTCCAGCCTCCGAAGCTCGCCCTGCGCCCCCTGGGGCCCCAACAGTGCCTGGAGCAGCCGGCGCTCGAGCTGGAACAGCCTGGGCCGCGCACCCAGCCTCAAGCGGCGGAGCCAGTGTGGGGAGCGTGAGTCCCTGCTGTCCGGGGAGGGCAAGGGCAGCGCGGATGAGGAGGTGGAGGACGGCAGGCCCGGGGCAGGGGCCTCCCCGGAGACGCTCCCCGTCCCGCTGCGGCGTGCTGAGTCCCTGGACCACCGCAGCAGCCTGGACGTGCGGCCCCCGCGGCCGGCTGCGCTGCTGCCCCCAAAGTCCCAGGACTGCAACGGACAGACACCGGCCCTGCCCGGCGGGTTCTTCCTGCGCGTCGACAGCCACAAGGAGGACCCCACGGAGTTTGACGACGACGTGGAGGACGTGAGTGGAGGCCCATCCCCACACCTCCCTCCCGTCGTGGACCCGTTCGTTCCCCACAGCAGAACGGAGAGGCAGGGACTGGGGGCATGCGATGCGTGGGGTCTCGGCTGCCCCAGGTCGGGGGTAGGGGGAGCAGGACCGGCTGAGCCACGCTCAACAGGGGCGATGTGGCCACAGCTCTGCCACGGGGACCTCTGGAGCAACTTCGCTCCAGGGCCTGGCCTCTGGCCAAGGGGAGTCCCCTTGCCCAGGGCAGCTCTGCAGGATGGAGGTCAGCTTGGGGAGGGGGTTCCCATGGACTCCCCATGTGGGTCTCAGTGCCCCGGGTGGGCCAGTTGGGAGCCCAGGGGCTGGCTGGCAGGGAGGGGCCCTGAGGACCTGCACAACCCCCCCCCAGAGTTGCTGCTTGCGCCTGCACAAGGTGCTGGAACCCTACAAGCCCGCGTGGTGTCGCAGCCGGGAGCCCTGGGCCCTGTACCTCTTCTCTCCGCAGAACAGGTGAGGGGTGGGGCGCGCCAGCTGGGGGGCGGGCCTGCGTGGAGCCGACCCCGCCCCCTGCGGTCCCCACCACGTGGGCCCTGTCCCGGCCCGCCCCCGCGTCTCACTGGCTCCCGCCCTTCGTCCAGGCTCCGGGTCTCCTGCCAGAAGATCATCGCCCACAAGATGTTCGATCACGTGGTCCTGGTCTTCATCTTTCTCAACTGCATCACCATCGCCCTAGAGAGGCCCGACATTGACCCGGGCAGCACCGTGAGGCGCACTTCCGGCCGGGGGAGTCGGGGAGTCGGGGTTGGGGGGGGTCGAGGGGGGCGCGGCCAGCCTGTCCCACCGCCCTGTGCTTGCAGGAGCGCGTCTTCCTCAGCGTTTCCAACTACATCTTCACGGCGATCTTCGTGGCCGAGATGATGGTGAAGGTACCAGGCCTGGGGGGATCCCCGCCCGCCTGCCCGGCAGCCCGCAGGGCAGCCCCCAGCTTCTGTGCTCCTCGCACCCCCCCACCCACCTGCGTTCCTTCCCCCTGCGCCTCCCAGGTGGTGGCCCTGGGCCTGGTCTCCGGCGGTCACGCCTACCTACAGAGCAGCTGGAACGTGCTGGATGGGCTGTTGGTCCTGGTGTCCCTGGTGGACATCATCGTAGCCATGGCCTCGGCGGGGGGCGCCAAGATCCTGGGCATCCTGCGCGTGCTGCGGCTCCTGCGGACGCTCCGGCCCCTGAGGTGGGCGGGGCGGGGGCTGCGGGGGCGGGGCCGCGGGCCGGAGGGAGGCGGGGCCGGCGCGGGCTGCGGGCTGCGGGCTGCGGGCTGCGGGCTGCGGGCTGGGATCAGGGACCCGCCTTCGCTGTGTGCGTCCAGGGTCATCAGCCGAGCTCCGGGCCTCAAGCTGGTGGTGGAGACCCTGATATCGTCACTCAGGCCCATCGGGAACATCGTCCTCATTTGCTGCGCTTTCTTCATCATCTTTGGCATCCTGGGGGTGCAGGTACGCGTCCCGCTTGCCTTGGGCATCTGGCTGTGGTTCGCAGCGGCCGGCAGCCCGGAGAGGGTCGTGTGGGGGTGGGTCTGGGGGCCCGGGGGCGTGGGGCCAGGCCGCAGGGTGACCTCTGCCCCGTGGTCAGCTCTTCAAAGGCAAGTTTTACTACTGCGAAGGCGCGGACACCAGGAACATCTCCACCAAGGCTGAGTGCTGGGCGGCTCACTACCGCTGGGTGCGGCGCAAGTACAACTTCGACAACCTGGGCCAGGTGGGCAGGGCCTCGGGTGGGGGCGGGGACCGGCACCGCGGTCAGCCTGGGTGGTGTGGTCCCCTGGGTAGGCACGGAGCTGCAGTGACTGGCCTTGTTCTGCCCCCACAGGCGCTGATGTCCCTGTTTGTGCTGTCGTCCAAGGACGGCTGGGTGAACATCATGTATGACGGGCTGGACGCCGTGGGCATAGACCAGCAGGTACGGGGCGGGGGTCCGCCCACCTCCCGCGGGGACCCCCAGTTCTCCAGCTTCTGGGCATCTCGAGGAACCTTTTCCCAGGAGGCTGGTTTCCAGCCATCTCGGGGCCCCGTCTCTGACCCCGGAGGGCACGTGCCATCCTTGAGAAGGGGTGCCCCGGAGCGGGGAGCGGGCACCCACGTGTCACTTGTGTGCCACAGCCCGTGCCCAACCACAACCCCTGGATGCTGCTCTACTTCATCTCCTTCCTGCTCATCGTCAGCTTTTTCGTGCTCAACATGTTCGTGGGCGTCGTGGTGGAGAACTTCCACAAGTGCCGGCAGCACCAGGAGGCCGAGGAGGCGCGGCGGCGCGAGGAGAAGCGGCAGCGGCGGCTGCAGCGCAAGCGCAGGAGTAAGGCACTGCTGGCGGCGGTCGGTCCCTCGCCCCGTGCCCTGCGATCCCGGCGCCAGCCGAGAGGCGGGCTCCCAGCCCCAGCACCCCAGCACCCCCCGGATGGCCAGGGCGGGGAGGGCCGCGTGGCAGGAGGAGGGGGTCTCCTCCCAAGCGGCACAGGACGTGAACGAGACCCGTGGTCTTCACGGCCGTGGCTTTAGGGGACGGTTCGCGCCCGTGAGAGTCCGCGGGCCACGGGTGGAGCAAGCGAAGCTGCCAGAGGTAGTCAGGGTCCTAGGGAAGTCCTTGTCAGCTTGGGGGCAGCAGGGAGCCTGCTGAGTGTCCCCGCCCGGCCTGCCCCGTGTGGAGTTCTCGCCCAACCCCGCCGAGGCCAGCTCAGACCATCTCCTTGTCTTTCCAGGCACTTCCCCCAGCCCAGGTATCTGCCCCCACCCCCGCCCTGCACGTGTCAGCCCTGCTTCTGCTGGCCCGCGCGCGGGGCTGTGGGTGGGCCCGGCCTCGGTTTCTCCGTGGCTGTCGTGGGGAGGGGTGGACGTTGCCGGCTCTGGTGCCGGGCCTGCTGGGGTTGCTTGCTGGATGGGCACAGGGTGGCGGGGGGTGGGCGCCAGGCCTCAGCGCGAGGGAAGAGGATTTGCTGGCTCACCTGCCCGGTGTTGTGCTGCTGCCTCTGAGCTTGGGTCCCGGCGCCTGCCTGGCTGCATGAGTGCTTGCGGCTCTGCCCTCTGGGACCCCCACCCGCCTATGGCTGCTCCGCCTGCCTGGCTGCCAGCCTGACGAGCTGAACCATCTCTCTAGTGGTTGCATGCCAGCCCGAGGGGCATGAGGGTCCCAGGGTGGGGTCAGTGCCCATCAGCCCCTGCCCTCCCAGGCCCTGAGCCACCAGGCCGAGGCAGCTGTAGCTCTTGTCACGCTGGGCGCTGCCTACGCGGGGCTCTGTGGCCCAGGATTGTTCCCATGTCCAGTGGTGGCAGCTGTGCCCTCACCCAGTGCTCAGTGGATCATGACAAGCTCCAAAGGGTTTAGGGCAGGCAGAACCGTTGGCTGGCGCAGGCCCTCCCCAGGTCGTGGGCATCAGCGTCAGATGGACCAGAGGTTCGGCAGAGCCCAGAGAGCAGGGAGTGGCCACTGAGCTCTTAGAGTACAAGGAGGAGAGACATTGTGGGCCTGGTGATCAGAGGCAGCTCATGTCCAGGCTGAGATGGAGCAGGGGGCAGTGGGCCCCCGTGCCCAGCAACCGCTGGGGCTGGGGACAGGACTGGTCCTGCACCCAGGAAGGCCCCTGTCTGCTCAGTGTCTATCATCAAGGTGTCTGCACCCCGACGTGGCAGGAGCCCCTGGCTGGGTGGGGACCGACCAGGGCCCAGGTGGGATCTCCACTGCCTGGCCCACACCTAGCACCTGTCCCAGGGCCAGGGCTCCCAGGGGATCACACAGTGACCTGCCCCAGCCCCTAACCTGTGGTTCCAGCTAGGAGTGGGAGCTGGGCTCACAGGGAGCCGTTTTCCACCTAGAAGGGCCCCCCTTCCTGGGAGAAATCCTTTCCTCCAGGCTCCGGTAAATGCTTTGTGTCTGAGCCCAGGGCCCTCCCCCAGCAGTCCCCATGCTGCACCCCTCCCAGCAGACAAGCAGGGACATCCCAGTGCCACCGGGGCACGGGCAGCCCCCGCCCCAGCTCACGGACACCCTCTCCCCGCAGAGGCCCAGCGCCGCCCCTACTACGCAGACTACTCGCCGACCCGCCGCTCCATCCACGCGCTGTGCACCAGCCACTACCTCGACCTCTTCATCACGTTCATTATCGGGGTCAACGTCATCACCATGTCCATGGAGCACTACAACCAGCCCAAGGTGGGGCCCGGTGCCTGGAGATGCCCGCTCAACCTGCCTCCAAGACGGCCGCGGGGACACAGCCCCCCCGGGTGGGGGTGGACCCCTAGGTGGGGCCCAGCGCTCAGGGGGTGGTCTGGATCAGCACTGGGGGTCCCAGGTCTGCGGCCTTGGCCAAACCCTGCCCGGGCTTCCCAGGGTATGTGGAGGTGTGGTGTGGGTGACACTCTGAGGGCCACCGGCCCCGAAGGACCCTCCGCACAGTCTGGAAACACTGGCTGGGGGCACATCTGTGAGCTCAGCTGCTCAGGAGCAAGCTGGCTAAGTGGAAGGCGCTTAGATTTTTATTGCGCTGACGTTGTATCTGTGTCCCTGCCCTGCTCTAAAGAAGGGACTCCTCTCCCCGCCTCACCTCTGCAGAGGAAGGGAGTGGTCTCAGCTGGGTCTGCCGTGTGGGTGGGGGCCGAGTGCAGGTGGGGCGGGGGTTCTGGGCTGGGAGGGGCAGGTGCCCCGGACCTCCGGGCTCAGAACACCACAAGGGAACCTCCGGGCCGCGCCTCGGGGGCCTCGCCCGGCCCTGCGTGCAGAGGAGAGGGGGGCAGGCTGAGCCGGACGGGTGCTGCGAGCCAGGGACCCCCGCAGCCTGACGCTCTGCTCGCAGTCGCTGGACGAGGCCCTCAAGTATTGCAACTACGTGTTCACCGTCGTCTTCGTCTTCGAGGCCGCGCTGAAGCTGGTGGCCTTCGGGTTCCGGAGGTTCTTCAAGGACAGGTGTGGGGACCGTGCCAGGGCTGGGAGGGTCCTTGGGGCGAGGTCAGGCGAGAGCTGCGCCCCTCCTCTCCCCCAAGCCCACCTGAGCAGCACGGGGGCTGGGCGGGGGGTGCAAGAGGGAGGCGGTGCTCAGCCCACCCCACCCCCGGCGCAGGTGGAACCAGCTGGACCTGGCCATCGTGCTGCTGTCCATCATGGGCATCGCGCTGGAGGAGATCGAGATGAGCGCCGCGCTGCCCATCAACCCCACCATTATCCGCATCATGCGTGTGCTCCGCATCGCCCGCGGTAGGCGGCCCGCCGGCTCTTCCCAGTGCCCCGAGGCTGGCGGGGGCGGGGGGTGGCCCTGCTGCCGGGCTCCCCAGCCCCAGCCCAGTGTCCTTCCTCCACTCACCCTGCAGCCTCTGCCCAGGGAATGTGTGGCGTCGGGGAGTTTAAGGGACGGGGGTGGGCCCTGGTCTCACCCCTAGCAAGGGAGGGTCCGCCCGGCCCAGGCCGCACGCCCCCTCCTGATGCTCGGCTCCCGGCTGTAGTGCTGAAGCTGCTGAAGATGGCCACCGGCATGCGGGCGCTCCTGGACACGGTGGTTCAAGCCCTACCCCAGGTAGGTCCGTGGTGCAGGCCGGGCCGCTGTCCCTGCCCAAGGGCGCGTGTTAGACGCCCCCAGGAGCACAAGCCGCGGGTGGTGGGCCAAGCTCGGTGGCGCTCACGTCCTCCGGCTCGCAGGCACAGCTCAGCTGTGCGGGCATGGGGGCCGGCGCCCTCCGGGCCTCAGCTTGTTGGGAAAGACCAGAAACTAGTGCCCCCAGCCCAGCTCTGGATGCAACGGGCAGGGGACGTGGTCCCGATGCGCTCATCGGACTTCGGGGACCACGTGTTGGCCGCTGGTCCCGCTCCTCTCCGGCCCCGCTCCTCTCCCGCCCCGGCCCCGGGTCCTCCCTTGGTGCTCTAACGGTGCCGGCCCCGATGCTCTGCAGCCTCTTCAGCTGAAGGAGACTCGGGTTCTCTATGCTGTGCCCAGTCCCTCTGCCAGCCCTCCGGCCCTTCAGCCACTCTGTGTCCTCCTGTCTGTCCATGCAGCCGTGCCGGCTGTCCCCCTGTCTGGCCGCTCACTCACCCTCACGGCACCTCACCGCTTCCCCCCTTCAGTGGGCCCCAGCCACGCCCTCAGCAGCCCCTCAGCCCATGTCTGTGGGAGCGACAGGAGGAGTCATGGGGTGCCCTGCCGAGCCAGGGGGAGGACGGGCTGGCAAGACCCACGAGCAGGCAGGGGACAGGGGTCGGGGCCCCCTCCATCTGCACGGCTGACCCCCGTGGGGCCCCCTAGGATGGAGGCAGGCCCTGTGCGGGGTCTGCCGGTGGGGTCCGAACAGCAGAGGAGCTGTGGGCAGTGGGGTCTGTGGCTCAAGGTGCAGGGTAGGTGTGAGGAGAGCAGGCACCGAGGTGGGGGTGCTGCGGGGGAGGCTTTAGGCATCAGGCGGGATGAGACGAGGATTGCAAAGCTCGGGTGCGGGGACACATGGGTCAGAGCAAAGCCCCGAGGTCGTGTTGGGGAGCCTGGCTGGGACGCAGGGGAGGCCAGCGAGGCGGGGCGCCAGGTGCCCAGCGGGGGGGAGGGGCTGGGGCGGCCCCTGACTTCATTCTGCTTCTTTCCCCGTGTAGGTAGGGAACCTCGGCCTACTTTTCATGCTCCTGTTTTTTATCTATGCTGCCCTGGGGGTGGAGCTGTTCGGGAGGCTCGGTGAGTGCACAGCCCCGCCCGCAGCGGGGGACCCTGGATGCCGGCCGGGCAGACCCACACGGGAGCATCTCCACGCGTGCACACGTGGACACGCACACGCCCTGTGCAGCCACGAACGTGTGCTCGAGTCTTCCTGAACTTCGTGTTCTCTGTGGGGTACAGACACTGCTCCTGTCCTCCCTTGTTCCCCAGGCCCGAGGCTCCGGGCGGGGATCTGGCAGGGCTTCCTGTGACCGCAGAGCTTCTGCGGGATCTCCTGGGCACCTGGTTTAGCTGAACACACACACACCACCCCCCCCCCGGGAGGCTTGTCCACAAGGTGACTGACCTGTTCGTCCCAGTTCAGGTCTGCCCAGGGCACCTGGTGCTCCAGATCCCAGCCCTGACGACTCGGGGCCTGGCCCGTCATTCACGGTGCCTCCCTCTCCCCAGTCCCGCTGCTGAGGCCCAAGACTGTGCTGACCCCGCAGGCAGGCTAGGGAGCATGGGAGCCCTCTGCTGGGGCTGAGCCATGCCCAGCTGCCCCAGACAGCTTGGCCTGTGGACCCACAGGGACCATGTCCGTCGGGAAAGCCCCAGGTCTGAGACTCCAGGCCCAGAGGCAGCCTCCACTGCTTCGAGGGGAGCAGTCCTGTCCCCCCACCTCCATCCCCGCTGTGGAAGGACGCAGCCCCCATAGAGCCCCGTGCCCACCCACCTGGGCCCTTTATCCTCAGAGAAGAGTATTTTTTCCCCAGGGGAGGGCGGGGCCCACAGTGGGTCAGCATAGTCCCCAGGGGCCTGGTATGCCCTGCCCCTGCCGTGCCGGTGGGCTAACGGGGCGAGGGTCTCCCCATAGAGTGCAGCGAGGACAACCCGTGTGAGGGCCTGAGCCGGCACGCCACCTTTTCCAACTTCGGCATGGCCTTCCTCACACTGTTCCGCGTGTCCACCGGGGACAACTGGAACGGCATCATGAAGGTACCGGCGTGGGCCCGGCGGTGCCCCCCCCGGGGAAGGTGCCCCTCGGGGGCTGCGGGCCAGGAGGCAGGGTGCCCCTCCCAGTCCCTGAGCCACCGGCCCGCCCTCAGGACACGCTGCGGGAGTGCGCCCGCGAGGACAAGCACTGCCTCAGCTACCTGCCCGCCATCTCCCCCATCTACTTCGTCACTTTCGTGCTGGTGGCCCAGTTCGTGCTGGTCAACGTGGTGGTGGCCGTGCTCATGAAGCACCTGGAGGAGAGCAACAAGGAGGCCCGCGAAGACGCAGAGCTGGACGCGGAGCCGGACCTGGAGGAGGCCCCGGGGCCCCCCGCCGGGCCCCCGCCTGCGGCCCCGCACAACCCGGACGCCCCCGGCCTCCTGGTGGTGCGCAAGGTGTCCGTGTCCAGGGTGCTGTCCCTGCCCAATGACAGCTACATGTTCCGGCCCGTGGCACCCGCCTCGGCCCCACACCCCCGCGCGCCACGGGAAGCGGACACCGCTGGTACGGCCCCTGCAGGCGGTCCAGGGACACAGGCGGGACAGGTGGGACGGGCCCCGGCAGGGTGCTGGCCGCTGCAGAGCGCTCGCTTTCCTGCCCCAGGCCTGGCGACCTCCGCGCACCCCCCGCCCGGGGAGCCCTGCAGCTCTCTCCAGGTTCCCTCGATGGCCGCACTCTCCCCAGCCCGGGACAGCGACACGCTCCACGCCCTTTCCCCGCGGGGTGCAGCCCGCTCCCCCAGCCTCAGCCGGCTGCTCTACAGACAGGTAGGAGAAGCTGCCCCAGGTCCGCGGCCCAGACCTGGGGGTTCTGCTGTGGCTCCTCCATCCAAAGGGTGAGGGACGGGGACCCCAGAGAAGAGAGCAAGAGTGCGTCCCTGGAACCCGAGGCAGAGTGCAGGGCCCTGGGGACTCCATCTGCTTGGACAGCGGCCTCAGGACCTGGCAGCACCCCCAAGCCTCACCTGTACCCATAGACCACTCCAGCCCCACAGCCTCAGAGCTTCTCCCTCCCCACAACCCCTGTTCTCGGGGTGGTGTTGGGAAGGGTGAGGCTCCGCCCACAGGGGCTCAGCCCCGCAGCCCCCCATCCTCAGGGTCCCGCCAACATGACCAGCGCCCGTGGAGAGCATCTGCACACAGCCTGGTTCCGAGCCCTGTGTTTGGCGGAGGCAGGGCTGGACCCAGAGTGTCGTCCCTCCCCTTCCCCCCGCTCCACAGTGGCTCTCGGCCACATATCAGGGCTGATCTCTGATTCCTCATCTGGGGCTCATAAGCCCAGTCTGGGGCTTCTCTGGGGAGCACAGCTACTGCGTTTCTGGCTGCTGGCTGGGTCCTGCCCGGCCTTCCGCATCCGATCCCGGGTCTTTCCTTGCAGGAGGCCATGCACATGGACTCACAGGAAGGACACATTGACAGCCCCAGGGACAGTGGCCCGGGCTGGGGGGAGCCTGGCAGGAAGACCCCCGTGAGGCAGGCATCCCTGGGGTCCTCCCTACGGTCCCCACCCCGGTCCCCGTGGCCCAGCAGCATCCGCACCCGCAAACACACATTTGGACAGCGCTGCGTCTCCAGCAGGCCACCGGCCCCAGGAGGGGACGAGGCCGAGACCCCAGATCCTGCTGACGAGGAGGTCAGCCACATTACCAGCTCGGCCCGGAGCCCCTCAGCCTCACCCACTGCCCGCGGAGGGGGAGGCAGAGACCCGGACCTGTGCGGGCTCTACGGCATGGACACCCAGGGCTTCCTGGAACAGCCGGGCCAGGCAGATGAGCACAGGCGGGCCTCCGGGGAGCAGGGGGGCGGGGATGGGCCCCTGGAGGCTCGGGAGGTGAAGGCTCGGTCGCCGGAGGCCGAGCCAGCCTTGGGGGCACGCAGGAAGAAGAAGATGAGCCCCCCCTGCATCTCCGTGGACCCCCCTGTGGAGGACGAGGGCACGGCCCGGCCCCCCCCAGCTGAGGGCAGCAGCACCACTCTGCGGCGGCGAACCCCGTCCTGTGAGGTCGTGCCGCACAGGGACTCCCTGGAGCCCGTGGAGGGGGCGGGGGTGGACCCTGGAGCCAAGGGGGAGCGGCGGGCTCAGGCCGCCTGCCGCGCGGAACACCTGACCGTCCCCAACTTCGCCTTCGAGCCGCTGGACGCGGGGGGCCCTGGCGGAGGCCCGTTTTTGGACGGTGGCCACAATGTGGCCCCAGAACCCAGGGCTTCCTTCTCAGGGGCCACGGTGCCTCCTGAACCCCACAAAACAGAGCTTCCTGTGTCCTCCAGCGACCCCCCAGAGAAGGAATGGGGGTTGTACCTCAAAGTCCTCCAGAGTCCCCCAAAGAAAGCAGGGTCTCCCCCAGCCACCCCCACGCCCGGAGACAGCGTAGACAGGCCCGTGTAGCTCAGGGCATGGTGCCACACAGGTCTGAGCAGCGGGGCCGGTGTGCACCCGGCGGGGTGGCAGCCCTGGGCGGGGCTGTGTGTGGTCCCCAGCGCAGGGCCTGCTGCAGCAGAGAGGCCTGCGAGGCCGTCCGCCCAGGGAGGGAGGCGGATGCCAGGTCTGGGTGGAGCAGAGCGCGGCGGGGGGGTTGCCCCTCAGCCTGCCAACTCCAACCGGTGGGTTTTTCTGTTTGGCCACCGTGGTCTGAGGCCGTGCCGGCGCCGACAACTGCTGTGCCCCGCGACAGAGATGGGGAAACGACTGGGAGGAGGCGGTCCGAGGCTGCCCGGGTGCGCCCCGTTCTCACACCCACTTACTTTTCTAGGGAACACGTGCTTGGGGCCGCCTGTGCCCTCCTGGGTGGCAGCTTGGTCCCCGGGGCCGCCACAGCCACGCTCACTGTCACTCAGTCTGAGTTCTCACTTGTCTGTCCCCACTCCTTGTCACCGTCTCTGACGCCCCACGGTTCTGCCCTCGGGTGTTCCAGAAACGCCCACGTTGTGGGGCAGTGGGGTCCCTGCATGGCCGGCGGCCCCACCTGGGCCCGGGCTGAGGTGTCTGCCGACCCCCTGTGTCTCGTGGCCCTTTCTTTCATAAATTCAGGTTAAACGTTGCAATAATATGATGCGGGACATTTGGCTTCTTAAGGGGACAGAAGCGGGGGTGGGAGGCAAAGCCAAACGGAATAAATATTAACTTATTTAAGAAACACAGTGTATCACCGCTGGTGGGACCCCACCACTGCATGGGAGCGTGGTGAGCCGTCACCTTGCCGAGAGCAGGGCTGGGGGATGCGGGGCTGCGGCCGGCTGTGCCACCAGCCACGGGGTCCCCGAGAGGCTCAGCCTGTCCCCTCTGGTGGCTGAGGGAGGAGTCAGGCTCCCAGTAGGAGCCAAGTTCACGGGTTACCACTCACATGCTGGGGAAAGTTCGGGGCAAGTTTTTGCCAGGCTCCAGGCATGGAGGGGTGCTGAGGGCAGAGCGGGGGGCCCTTGGGGAGAGCCGCTGAGGCTCTGCAGGGCGCTGGCCTCTCCTTCCAGGCTCTGGCCCTGACCTTTCATGGGCCTGGTGCCCTACTGGCCTCTCAGGACCCAGGGCTCGTGGGAGGCATGAGAGTGGGTACCGATGGCCCAGACAGGGTAGGACTTGGGATCCCTGCTGGCGAGGCTGTGACCATGCTGGCTGGCTCCAGGGTGGGCTCCAGGCCCTTCCTACCACGCAGCAAAGCAGGAACCCGGCCATGGCCCACCACAGCCACCTCGGGGGGGGGGGGGGGGCGGGTCTGGGTGGCAGGAGGCCCCACCTGGCTGAGGCCAGAGTCCTACACTCTGACCCCAATGGGCAGGGCAGACACCAAGGGACTCTCTCTCGTCTCAACCCCCAGGTTCATCCCAATCTCTCTCAACCACAGCTTTCCTGGGGCCAGGGTGTCCAGCTGAGGGGCTCAGCTCCACGATTGCTGGAAAAGTGACCCCAGCCAGAGGCCCACAGAATTGGCAGAAGCCCTTGCCCTCCCCCCCAGGGTCCCCCACTCACAGGGTCCTCCATCAGGTACCAGCTGGGCAGGGGTTCACTATGCCTCAGGTTCACGATGGCTGGGTCCTGCAGGGTCAGGGGCTACCTGAGCCCTACATGCGTCGGCCTAGGGCGGGGAGTAGAGGGAGCACCATATACCTGTGGTGTGGGGGAGGGACAGAGGAGGGGCCAAGGGGCAGGCCCCACCTGCTCCTGCGCACCTCGAAGCTGTGGGCTTTTGTCCGCCCTTTGTCTGGCGAGTGGCCGGCTCAGGGACACAGACCACAGCACGACCAGGTCAGACCCGAGGTGCCACTGTGGCTTCCTCCTCAGCCAGGCGGGGGTGGGGATCGGTGCCCCCCACCTCCAGGAAGCCGTCCCCAGACTCCCCGTCCCCACACCCGCCCAGGGCTCCCGTGGTCTCTGCCGCACATCAGATGGGCACAGCGCCCAGCTGCTTGGCTCATGGCGGGCCCTTCCTAACGGTCCTCCGTGTGGCCAGGGCCTCATGACTGAACTGCTAAGCGGCCCTGGGAGGGCCCGGACTTGCCTGCACCCGGCCCCGGCTCCCTCCCCAGCTGCAGGTCACAGGCCAGGTGGGAGGGTCCCTATGAGACCCTCTAAGTCCGAGGTCCCCTCTGAGAGGTTCCCTCTGAGAGGCCGGGAAACTAAGGCATGGGGTGGTTGCCTGACGACTTCTCGGGGTGTGGGTTCTCGGGGCACATGCTTGTCTCCCTCTGGTGGGGAGCTGAAGCTCAGAAGGTATGTTCAGCGTTTGTCCTGATGATGAAGGACAACAGTGGCGTCACCTCTGTGTGTGGGGCCTATGCTGAGCCCGACGGCCCCCCACCCGGGCAATGGGCCTCGGGAGAGGGGGCACCTGCTCCTGCCAGCCTGGTTGGGGTGGCAGCTTTTCGGCCCAGGCCTCCCTGACGGCACCCAGTGTTGGGGAGCAGGGTAGGTCTGGAGGAGCCCAGCCCAGGACCCCTGAGCCCCCAGAGTCATCCCCGGGTCCCCACAGGCAGGACTTCAGGGCCCTCGCTGTCCTGGCTCAGTTTGCTTCCCCTAGTGGGGACCCTTCTCCCTACCGGCACCCCCTCACTCAGCTCCTGGGGGCTGTCCTGTCCCGAGGTGCCCCCCTCCCCTGGCCCGGGGATGCCCTCCCAGCCCAGTGGGGTCTCCTGTCGCCTGGTGGTGGTGGGAGGGCCGACCCCCTCGGGCTCAGCCTGCCCTGCAAGGGTGGCCTGACTTCCCCAGTAGAAGGTCTCTCACTCGCCCCTGCTTGACAGGCTGCCCTCCTCAGCTCCCTGGACCAGATCCGGAAGCCAGGGGTCCGAGGCCCCCTCCCCACTCCCCAGGTTGGGACCCTCACCCCCATCTCAAGGAATCCAGGGGCTTCTGGGTCCATCCCTTCTGGATCTCATGCCTCGGTCTCTCTCCCCACAACCTGCTCTTAAGAAAGCTTAAGTGTGGGGGTACCTGGGGGGTGCAGTCGGGCCCCCGACCGGTTTCGGTTCAGGTTGGGATCTCAGGGTCGTGAGATGGAGGTCCGCACTCGGGGCAGGCTGCTCCAGAGCCTCTCGCTCTGCCCCTACCCCTGCTCCTTCTCTCTCCCTCTCTCTCTCTCCAATAAATCTTTTTTTAAAAAAGGTTTGAGTGTACGTATGTGAGGCTGACAATCGAGGGAGGGGACCCTGAGGGGTGAGATGGCGGGGGGAGGAGTGATCTCTGGGTTCTTCCTTCCTTTCATGGTCTTAGAGTGGACACGCAACCGCGGTGATAAGTCCGGGCCAAGGACCTCGTCTGTCACGGTGGCTCCAGCAGAGCGAGGGCCCTGTGCGCGCCAGGCTCTGTGTGCCAAGACCAGGCCCCCTGCCTTGCTGTGACCAGAGGTCACAGAGGTCATTTCTGGAGACTCCAAGGTTAAATGTGCATCTTCGCGTCCGACAACTGGAAGGAGAGAGGTGAATGTTGGATCTAGAAAGTTCTTTCTGGCCTGAAGAGCCCAGAAAACTCCCGAAAACAAGCCGTTGATTCAGCGCTCCGTATGTTCATGCGCACGACCGCGTCTACACAGGAAAGCAGGGGCCAAGGGAACACGCACCCCCAAAGGCGGACGTTAGCCCCCCACTTTAGAGGACCCGAAAACGAATGAGTTCCTCCATCGGCGGAGGACAGGAACAGTTTGCACCAGCGACCAGCCCTTCCTGGGGGGCCCGGCGGGCAGCGGGAGTCCACGTCCTGGCTCCCGGGGCCCAGACCACAGGGTGAGGGGCCCCGTAAGCCCGAGTGCAAAGCAGCCCAACCTAGAACACGCACCTCGTGTGGGCATCAGTGGCGACCTGGCCACGGCCAGGGTCATGCTGGAACACCCCCAGGCCAGGTGCCTGTGTGCAGGGGAGGGGGCTCAGGAAGGGCCCCCGGGCTGTGGTGCTGCGGTGTGGTGGACAGCCGTTCCCCTCCCCCACCCAGGGTGCGGCCGCCTCCTGCTGAAAGGACTGCGCTCATCCAAACTCTAGAAAACACCAACTAAAAATGGAACGAGACCACCACCCAGTCCAGCAAAGAGGGCGGCAGGGTGGGGAGGAATGGGCACACTCCCCTCCCCTGTGGGGGGCGAGGGGGGCAGCGTGCCAGAGCCCATGGCCCCATCTAGAGAGGGGAGGACGACGTGCAGGCCCCAGACCTCAGCAGCCCCCCGGCCGCACATGCCACCATCACCGGGGGGTGCGCGCAACAACGGCCACAGCCACATGGTCCCGAGACCCCCCCCCCCAGTGCGGACAACCTGCACCTTGCAGCAGCCTGGACGGCCGCCCGGGACAGGAGTGGGCGCAGCCGTGAGACATGACAGTGTGCGGGGAATCGGGGACAGGGCACGGGGGCGGTGCCCACTCGACCCCCTCGCAGTGCCTGGGTGTCCCCACAAACATCTTCTCAGAGTCTGCCTTGCTCTCCCCATTCCGAATGGGCGATGTCATTCCCCAAGAGACAAAACCGTGAGCTGAGAATGGACCCTTGTCCAAGGGGCTGGGCAGGGGGCATCTCGCAGCAACCCCCATCCCCCGTGCTCAGGCCCCACGCTGACAGCAGGAACACCCGGCTGTGCCCTGGACCCCTGCCTCTCCCTCAGTGACCCGCGCAACTCATACCGCAGCGACAACCAACAACCACGTCTGCTTCCATCCACTTTAATGAGGATTTGCGCCCACCAAGGGCTCCCCACAGGGCATGGGGAAGGTGGGCGGAAGGATGCCGCCTGGGCACTGCTGTGGGACAGCAGCGGGCTGGCTTCTGTGCCTGTCCAGGTGGCAGCTCCGGGGCCTGGGCTCAGGGCTCTTTGGGGACATACTGGTGGATCCAGTCCAAGTAGTAGGTGACCCGGGTGTAGACGCCGGGCCGGTTGGGTTGACCGCAGCCCTCGCCCCAGCTGACCACGCCCGCCT